GTTTTAAAAGTACTGTGACTCATTCACCTATTCTCTCAAATATTTACTCCCTCAAGTGTTAGGAAGCTCGTATCAAAAAACATTCTCTACCTGTTTAAGAAGTTTTTTAAGAATACCTCTCGTACTTTGTTAATATATTTTTGGAGGAAAAGGGGAAGAAATTTTGAAAATTATTCATAAATTAACGCATACGGCCCTAAAAATTGACATAGAAGTCACAAAATTTTAAATTTTCTGCTTATTTCTCAAAAAAGTACGAGGTACGAGAAATAGGAAAAAATATAAGTATGTACGAAAGTACGAGTTGGAGCAAGTTTTAAAATTCCACACTGATTCCCTCACAGATTGTCACTCTTGTCTGTTTCCAATCAAATTTTTAAAATTTTTATTTTTTTTTATTCCAAGCTTTAAATATTTTTTTAAAAATTAAAAAACAAATTTAATATCTCTAGATCCATATATATATTTATTCCAATTATTCTTCAATGATGATTTGTTTTTAATTAAATTAAATGCCTATAACTATATTTTTTAATATGTATAATCAAGAAAGTTAATTTCCTTTTAAAATGAGCAATCCTAAAAATGGAAAATAAAATTAAAAGATAAGTAAATATCTGCAAAAAGTAAAAAATTAATTAATTAAATTAATTGAATTAATTTATTTTTAAAAAATTCAAGTTCAAAATTTTAATAAAACATCAATATCCTTGAAATATTTAACGGATTAAAATAAAAATTAAACTTTTCAATCAAGAGTCAACTAGCCCACTTTAAAATTACAGTAATCCATCTTCTTATTCTCACAAATTGTCTCACCGAGGATCTCAATGGCCAACACAGAGGATTTCTCGTTCTTTAGCCATCTCTTCAAGATATATCTCGTAGATTAAATCTTGTTTCTTTTAAATTTTAAAGTCGAGAAAGCTTACATCAAGAGATTCGTTAATCAAGGGCTATTCTAGGATGAAATTCAAATAAAGAAAAGGTCCCTCAAATCAAAAGTCGCCTGTGTTTCTTCTAGGATTACAGTAAGCCTCATAAGCCTCACTCAATCCTTCCTCAATTTTTTTTATCTTTTTTTTTAATTTTAATAAGACATTTTTAATTAAGTATAAAATCCATCGATGATGACTAATTTTTGAGAAAAATTTTTAATTTTATTAAAATTCAAATGGTTCTATTTAAAAATTTTTTGCTTGATCAGATGATATTTAGTTAAAAATATTTTATGTTAAAATTAAGTGTTAAAAATAAATATTTATTTGGAACGGAAATGATTAATTTAGAAAATTGGAAAAAATTAATTTAGAGATTAAATTAAACAATTATGAACAAAAATAGCTTGATTAAGAACGAAAGTATCTTAAAAAAATAAAATTTTCAACAAAAATTATAAAAGTTTTATATTTTTTATTTTGATAAGGAAAAAAACTAGTCATCATGGATAAATGTGATATATGGAATTTAGCTAACAATTAATATTAAATAAATTTACAAAGCAATGTGCATAAGTTTGGAATAAAAAATTAAAAATTTTTATAAAATTTAAAAACTTCATCCGTGGTAATCTCTTATAAATTTAACTAGATCCTTTACTCATTCTCTCATTTATTCCCTCATCAATGATACATATAATCGCAAGGATTGTCAAATCGAGGTGTTTGTTATATCAAGAAAATAAAAAAATCTTAATGAGGGATAAAATAAAAGGTTCCTCAAATAGAAGGGTTCGTCTGAGAGTGATCGAGAGATATATGAGATACTTTTGTTATCCATTTTTTCATTTTCTAATAAATTTTTTATAAATTAATTTAATTTTTTGTTATTATTCATTTATCTTTTAATTTTATCTATAAAATTTTTAACTTTGAGCTTTGCTCATTTACCATTTTTGAACAGCAATATCAGCTGATTTTTTTAATACTATTAAATTTTTTAGTAAGCATAGTGCAAAAATGTTTTAATCATTTAATTTAATCTGTTGAAAAATTTTTTTATTTTTCGTTTTTTGCTTAGCTTCCGCCCTCATATGAAAGTCCAACCAATTGATAAAGCATATATTTAATTAAAAATAAAAGTTAAATGATTCATTTAATTAATTAAATTTCTAATTAATCCTGTTAAAAATAATTTTTAGTACCGCCCACAAAATTTTAATTATTTATTAATATAAAAGCTAATAATTAATTTAATTAAATCTTTATTTGTTTAATTATTAAAAATTTTTTTCTCTGATTGCTTAATATGAATCTAAATTTATTAATCTTTATCACTCTTTTATTTTTAAATTTTGTTTTTGAAAGTAAGAAATTTAGACAAAAAAATTTTAAAATTATTATGTAAATTTTCAAGTTTTTGGAATCACCTGGCCTGGATGCACAGTAAATGGAAATGGATGTGAAAATGAAATAAAAGCAATGGCCGAATCCGTATCCAAATGCAACGAGTAAATATTTTTTGGGGTAGTCAGACCCATTGAGCTCTTATAGAGCTAAGTCGAATGACACCAAAAATAGTCTTGCTACTATTCTTCTTTTAAGTTTAGTTATGGCTTTTAGAGCTAGCCTGGTCCCAAAAATTAAAAAAAATTTTTTAATATTTAAATTTAATTTAAAGATTGTTGGTTTGTTATGAATCCCATCTGACAAACGATCAATTCGGATTCAAACCTGCAACCCCCTACAAAATTACTCCTGGTAATGAGGATCAATTTTGTCTTGGGTGCGTAACCAATGGAATTTGCCGTGAAAGGAATTCCAAAGGGCAATTGTTGCAGTGGAATGGATTTAAGATATTCTTTAACGTCGACACCAACACGACGTTCATACGATTCGACGTTGCCGGGCGGAAGTGAGATCCTTAAATTTTCATATTCTTGTAGATAATAATAGGAGAATTGATACACACACTAGGGCCATTGGCAGTAATTTTTTAATTTTTAAATTTTTTAATTTTTAAATAAGCCAGATTCCCCCTTTTTTGCTAAAAATATTTATTCAAGAGAAAAGGGTTAATTAAGGAAAATCTAAAAATTTGATAATAATGGACCGAAACATAAAAATTGAGCAATAACAGAATAAATATGACAAGTTACGATCATGATTAATATTAAAAAATTTTTAAGCGGATACTTTTACATGGCTAATACCACGGTAGAACAGCTTCTCAAAAGTTTGCTTGTTAAGGCCTCACCAGAGCAGGGTATTTGCAATTAGTTATTATGAATATATTTTTAAATAAAATAGCCATGATCCGGCAAAAATTTAGCTGGTCCGAATTCTGGAGATTGTTCCAGAAAAATGGAATGCTTCTTGACGAAGCAATTGGCTATCCGGCCTTGGCTCTTGACTTAATGTTGTGGAATGAAAAGTATGCATTGGGGAGCAACCGCATGGCCCATTATACATACGAGGACCGTATGTATTGTTATGAGGTATCATTAAAAGTTTTAGAAAATCTGACTTGGATTACTGTATTGTCTCTCATTGAGAAGCAATTTCATTTAAAGTGTCCCCTTGAGAGGCAATTAAAATACACAGAGCGGTCATTCGCTCAGTTAAAGTAACTATGCGTTAGTTTAAGATTAGGCCCAATAAGATGAGAAATATTCTAGTGTAAATTTCAGGGGTCTTTCCATGGATTTGATTATCTAACAGAAATCTAACTCTCGAGACTCAGGCTCTCTATACTCAATATTATTTGAGGTCTTTTCTCTCTCATTTATCTCAAAATCTTATCCTGCCTGATCTTCCCCTTATACATTAACTTTAAAAATTTTTAGCCGCGCTGCAGCTACTACAAGAATGGGCCAACATATTTTGATCAATTCAGTTGCCTGTAAGCCTTTTTTAATCACAAAATTTAAAAATCTATTTAAATTATTTATTAGTTGTGGTAGTCCCCACCATACTGCAGCAGCAATTAACAAGTAAATTTTATTCAAAATTTTCAAAATAAATTGAAATATAGATGCTGCTATAAACATCACGTTTGCGTCCGAGCTTTGAAAAAAGAGTGCCCAACTACTCCAAATGAACTCCACTATATCTCCATTAACACGTCGAACTATCAACTCGACACCATGATTTACGAAAGTGAGTATTAATTAATAAATAGACTTGGGGACCGATCGAGATTCGAGTTCTCAAAAAAATCTCTTCCCTATGACACTATGCTGAATTAAATCTTGTCTCATCTCTAAAATTAATATTAATCTTAACCGCAACCATTGAACAATAATTAGTACTGGCCAAACTGTTTTTCAATTTTTCGACCACTGGTTTCCGCTACTTTAACTATTCGAGTTATTAATTATTTAAAAATTTCCTCTTTCAGACAAGAACACAATCAAATGTGCCTCCCAGCCCGACTGCCAACGCAAATTATGCGAATGTGATAAGTGAGACTTAAAATTCTAAAACAGGGGAAATAAATATCTTTTGGTCCGTTAAAGAAAATTAAAATTATTGTTGTAATTTCGGGATCAATCATAACTTTTACTATATTATATACTGTATATACTCGGCCCTTTAATTATAATAAAATGAAAAATATTTAAAATTTTAATTTAAAGGGCTGCTACGGAATGTTGGACCGCCTTGCCAGAACAACAGCCTGAAAAATTTTGTCAGAGCTGTCTTTTGGATGAGGGCAGGATCGTCGCCAAAAGGCAAATTGAAACGGTGATTCGTGTCCGCATCTTGGCAGTTGAGCAAGAGGAGGAAGTGAAAAATGTGAGATTTCCTTTTAATTATCAAAGGGCCCTTAAATATTAAAAATTTTTGATTTAAAATGAAAATGAATGACTCCTGGTTTTGAGTACTGACCCAAGAATTTTTGTTGGGTTTTGGGTTGAAAAAATTATAGGGCTTTTATGGTTAAAAGTTGGCATTAATTCTTGGTCTAAAGTTTGGTCTTAGATCTTTGAAGGGCTTCCTTTAATCTCTCCTAAGCTTCATTTTATCTCTAAAATCTAAACATATCTTAATCTTTAGATAATGGAAAAAATCACAAAGGGAGAAATCCCAAGTAACGATGTGATTGTCAACCGAACCCTCATCACGGCAGCGTTCCAAATTAACAACGGCTTCAAAATTGTAGCTGAGGCTGAGGCTGAACTCGTGGGTATCCTCAACTATACCCGCGACGATGCCAACCTTGATTTGCATTGGGCAAATAAAACAGCAATGAATGGCGAGACCTACCGGACCCATAACTTCCTCGAAGCAGCAGCATATAAATCATCATTGATTCAGGCTGCATCAACTGAATTTTTTAAAGAAAAATTTCTCACGTACGACTATGGTGAGATAACGTTGCAGACAATTGAAAAACTCGAGAAGTTGGTCGAAAATACTGGTAAGGATGAACTTTAATTTTTATATTTTGTCAAATTATGCCTCTTCCGCCAAAATAAGATGATCCCCCCCTCCCCCCACCCATACCCAAACTTAACTGTTTTGAAACAAAAAATCTTTGAAAATCGAAAAAATTAAAATATTTTCGTAATCGGAAATCGGAAAAAAATCGTCCTTTAATGGCACTGGTTAAAATACCCTTTTCTGTCAATATAATTTTTAAAATTTAAAGTCTGGCCTTTTATCATTTCCGAATTATTTTTTGCCTTCTTTCCCCTATTCAAAAATAATTTTTTTGAATTTATACTTCTATATTTTTTTTCAAAAATCCAAAAAAAACACGAAAAATTGTCTCCCTCTCAAATTTCATACCTTAAAGACATATTTAAATTGTCACTTTAAGGAATTTTTTTGTTTACTTTTTATTTATTTTGTTAATTTATATTATTGTCACTCTCGATTTTGTGAAAATTTAATTTTTATAATGAATAAATTTATGTATAAATATTCTTTAAAGATTTTTAATAGGGAAAATTATTAGGAAACAGACATAGGAAAAATTGAAAATACTAATAGGAAAAATACTTAGAAAATCGGTCAGATATGTATTATTGCTGAAATAACAGAAATTTAACTTATAAAAATTTCAAATTATAAGAAAACAAAGAAAAAATCTAAAAAACAAAGAAAAAAACTTGTCTTCAGCTTCAAATTTCAAAATTTATTAAAGTTCTGATACATTAACTTATTGGAAAATACATAAAATCTTAATTATATTTCTACTTGATCCGGCCAGCTTTCTCCGTGTTAGCCTGCCTTTATCCGAAGACTGAGTCCTAATCCAATTTATTTTTTTCGCCGTCTCCTGATCATTATAGATCATTATAGGGCAGGGTTTATTATTATTGAGCAGGGTTAATCCAAAATAATTCAGGTCATATTAAGTCCGACATCAGATAAAATTTTAATATTACTAGTATTAAATTTAGTTTGAAATTATTTGAGTTTTCCAATACCATATAACATTAATTGCCCTCCCTTAAATAATTACCCCACTTCCATTAATTACCCCATCCAGCGATAGATTGAAACAATAATTACTCCCCAATCAAAGGCCCTAAAACACGTTGAAATTTCAAACTTTATTTAATTACCCTCCCCCGATTTATTACTCCCTCCAGCGGAAGGTCGAGATAATAATTACCCAGGGGAGTTATTAAAGGATATACGGTAATTATTTGTTCTTTTTTGACAGCTTAAAAAATTAAATAAAATTGTGTATCTTTAATATTTATAAAATAAATTCAATATTAAAACAAAATTAATGAGTATATATCAAGAACGAAGTTTGAAGTGAATGGAATTTAAAAAGAAATTTTGAGAAAATTTAAGAAAATTTTGATTAAATTTTTTTTACTAGTTCTAACTTGATTTCTTTTTCTTTGCAATTTGGCGATGATAGAAGGCACAAGGATCCTTAAAAATAAATAAAATATTAAAAAAATTATTTTATTCAAAGTCAGTTTTCAAGATGCCAATCTGGATTCTGTCTGATAATCCTAATCTGGTTTTCAACACACTCCTAGTCCGTTCTCTACCCTATTAGATATTTAATGAAATACAAGGCTCCCACCGGTCACATTCACATAATTTTTTTGCATCGATTCATGTCCAAGCATTTGATCTCCTTTTGAGCTTAAAATTTAAATAATTTTAAAAATTTAATTTTTATTATGAAAATTTTACTCCAAAAAGGTCGTTGTCAATTTCATATTTTGTGGTGTCAATGTCGACAAAGTGTTTAGCTGTAGGAGTTGATGGACAACTCTTCAGAAGTTCATTCAAACACTCGTGATGAAGCTGGCAGCACCTAAATAAAATTAAAGTAGATTAAAAAGATCAAGATTTTTCAATTTTAAAAGACATAACAGGACTGGGCCAAAACCAAAAAAAATTCTCCAAAAAATGATCCTTCGATAAGGAAAAGGAGAAAATTGTGAGGCTTAAAAATATTTTTCATATTCATTTGTATATTTTAAATTTAATTTAAATTTAATTAACTTGCTAATAATAAATGAAAGCTATCGAAGCAGAACTTGCAAATTTGATCAGGGTGCTGGGATTCCAAAGACTGAACAAAATTAAGAAGCTTCGTACAAAACTTAAGAACTTAGGTATCGTACAGAACTTTAGACTCTATCCAAGTATATTCCAAATTAAATTTTCTACTGATTTATATTTAATTAATTAATTTACGTCGGAGTAGGCAACGAATTTTGTGCATTTAAGCAATTTTGAGGAGAAGACTGGCTCAGTTGTATTTTTAATCTGTTGGCAAAAGCTCTCAATTTTAGAGGCCAACTTCGTCGATCTATCTTAATTTTGAGTTAGTCTATCAAGATTTAAAAAAGTAAACCATGAGAATGAATGGGATTTTCTCTTGTATAATGCCAAAATTACAGCCATATTATTGAATTTCAGCATTCCTTATTGCAGTATACTATTTTTTATCAATATTAATTCCTTAACACCATCTTTACATTTTGATCTTTACCAAGTATATAACTAAATTGAAATTTCTTTAAATTATGCTTGGGATTATGCTTGGGATGGTTTCCGAAAATAAGCTAGAGAGGGTGTTTTATGGATGAGAGGGTTTTTCTGTGAATTAAAAATCTAGAAAGATATATAATTCCAAACCTTAAGACGTTGTTTCATTAACAATGACTGTAGCATATCCTGCATAACATAATGTGTTGCAGCATGTGGATGACCACCAATACTGGTACCATTTTTACGGGATTTTGTGAAGGATTGCTGGATACTTGAAGTTGTCAGGATGGAAGATCCATTTGATTATCGGCCAATATAATTCATTCCTCTTGATGTGTAGCAGCAGGTGGGTATTCATACTAGTTGTACTTAATTGTGCTCCATGTCAAAAAGTCGAGCCTTTATCTAGGGCCATTTCTTCTCTGAATAGATTTTCCATGTTGCCCACAAAGAATGGCTTCTCTAAATTTAACATTTTTAAGCTTAAAATTGTACATCGGAGTTCTTACAGATCTGATGAACGTTTGCCATGAATTAAGATATTCATTTGGGATTTGTGGAAGGATTGCTGAATAGTTAAAGTTGTTACCAGAACGGATTGAAGAAACACTCGATTATCATTCCATGCCATCCAATCCAAGAGTCCAATCCACTCCAATTCCTTTCGAGCTCCCAAACAACTTTGGATTGAAGAGTTGGCCAAGATAGCGAGTTGGGCAGGATAGAGTTGGCCTTTCGAGCCCCCAGATCTATAAACATCATTAATCCGTGCCATGAGGCTCTTATTAAAGGGAAATTTTTAAATTTCCCTGAGGCTCGAAGTCTCCACAAATTAAAGAGGAATTGAAGCGTGTTGTCTCGAGTATCAGAAGTATTTATTTGGTGAATAAATTGAATATTTTTTGGATTATTCAGAAATTAGATTTAATAAAATTAGAGTAATAATTTTCATTTGATTTAATTACCAGCCAAAACTAATCCATTTATATACCCTTTCTAGCTTAAATAAATTTTGATGATTATTCATGGGAAATGGATTAAAATTAATTTTTTATATTAAAATCGTACAATTTCCTCTCAAAATTTGGTTAAATTTGTATAATTTTGGTTAATTAAATCAAAAAAAATTTTCACACAGCTAAATTCTAGTTAAAACTCCAAAAAATGGTCCTATGATTCAAAAATAATATTTTTATTACTCAAAATTCCAAAATTATTTAAAGCAGAATTGTACGATTTTATTATAAAAAATTAATTTTAAAATAATTTTCAGCCTTTTACCATTAATAATCAGCAAAACAAAAATACGATTACGAGGTAAAAAGGTCTGTACGAATGTACGAGTACGAGCAAATTTCAAAATTCCAACCACATGGTTCTCAACTTGAGAGGTTTAACTATCCTCTTCAAAATTACAGTAAGTCATTCTCTCATTCTCCTATATACTCCCTCAGTGATTTCCTCCCTCGTTTGTCTTTATTCTTCAAGTTCTCACATTTTAATATTTATTTCTGATTAAAATTTTTATTTCTGATTAAAGTTTTATTAGTTACAAATAAGATTTTATAGTTAATCAGAGAAATAATGTGGGATTTTTGGGATTTTGTAAGGCCAGGAAGCCGAATTTCTCTTTTTTTATTCGATAAAAAATAGGATGTTTAATATTAATTTAAAATTAATCATATGGGAAAGCATACGAATAAATCTAATAGAAAGTGTGAATAGTCACCATTGAAATCACTAATTTTAAATTATTTAGTTATTTTATATTTACTTGAATATTAGTTCATTACTAGTTTTATTTTTAATTTTAAAAGCATTATAAATTATTAGTTAACATGATTTTTTCTGCTACTTGATTTTAAATTTAAAAATTTCAATTTTACATAAAGTCAGACCTCTTTCAAATCTAAAAATAATTATTTAATTTTTATTAGGAATACTTTAAATTAATAAATGTTTAATATAATTATTAAAATCTTATTGATCGTATTATTTTTGTTTGCAAATGGATATGAGGATGATAAGTTAGAGATTTAATTATTCAAATTAAAGATAGAACTGGAAGGGTTATACAAGAAAGAGTTTTCGAAAAAGCTCGATCTCGATAGCAAGACTTTCGATCAAGATCTCGCCTCGGTCCGGTCTCTAATTTAAGTTATATTAGCCAGGCTTGATAATGGATACGGATAATATTCGGATACACGCGGATAGCAAATCCATGTCCTTGAGCAGGCTTAATATTAGCCTTAATATTATTATAATTAGAATTTCTGTTTAAAATTTTCCTTAAATATATTTTAGTTAAATATTTTCAGAAAAATATACATGAGATTTTAACATTCTTCTGTTTTGGTGTTGGATCCGCTAAATAATCTTGCAAAAATTTAAAATAATTAAAAAAAATTTAAATTTTTATTTTTCTGCCAGTTTTAAAGTTTGTCCTGGCAAAGAGGATAGTTTTG